GCTAGTTTTGCAATTGACCAGAATTCGTTCAGAGTTTGACTTTTAGAAGTAGACTTTCTATGCAGTCTACATTTTTAAATTTGTTTGAAAGAGGTTAGTTTTGCAATTGACCAAAGTTGACTTTCTACTAGTAGACAAAACTAAATGTCTACGTAACTGTAGACTGCAGTAAAAGTCTACATTATAACCCGACAGGTTAGTTTTGCAATTGACCAACATAACATAGTAGACTTCATATGCAGTCTACTTTTTTTTCCTAAGTTTTNTGGTTGATAATAACTGGAATGTTAAGGTACGTAAATATTTTTTCCTAAGCTGACTAACTAAAAGGCTTGTTTGCTCTGATGCTGGATTATTGAATTTTGTTTTCGTTTATCTCACTAATCTTGCAGGTCGGTGATTTTGGGTTGTCTCGCTTAAAGCACAATACTTTCTTGTCCTCAAAATCAACTGCGTGAACGGTGATATTCTTTTATCCCACTAAGTTTTGGTAGACATGCAATTTCCAGCTCCTTTTTTGATGATAAGCGTTTTGAATTGGTAGCCCGGATGGATGGCTCCAGAGGTTCTATGCAATAAGTCCTCAAATGAAAAGTGAGTAGCTTAGACTCCCAGTTTTTGTCATTGCCTCTACCACAAAAGTTATGCTCTTACTTTGACCTTTTCCAAGGAGAATGTAATATAAAAACATGGTGGGCTTCTTTGTTTCTGCAGGTGTGATGTGTACAACTTTGGGGAGATTATATGGGAACTAGCAACATTGAGATTGCCATGGAGAGGAATGAACCCAATGCAAGTAGTAGGAGCAGAGGGTTAATCTCGTTTGTGAGAAGATCATGACTCGTGAGGTAGATGAAAGGATGATTTGGGACTTGGGTTCTGATGCAGGAAACAAGTTTTTGGGTGCTGTGAATGAGTTGAGAGGTTTTATTGATCGGTTAGAGGGAACAGAAGAGGAGGTTTCTTTGAGGAAAGCTCATGATGTTCTTCAGACGGTGATGGCAAGGCTTGAGGATGAGTTTAAGCATCCTCTTGTTGAGAACAGGCTGCCTTTTGAGATCGAACACGGTTCGTTTCGGTCAGATCTTTGGGGAAGTAAACGAGTTTGGTTTAACATGTTTTGTCGATACAGTGAAGGCTGCTGTGATGCGGTTACTTAACTTCGGTGAAGCTGTGTCTCTTGGTCCACGGCAACCTGAGAAGTTGCTTAGGATTCTTGAAATGTATGA